AGCAAAGCTTGCCCTGGCTGCAGAGGTACATGTGCCAAACACCAGCAAGAAGGAGGCAGTTTTTTTGAAAAATTCCCTGAATTAAAAGTTCATTTGTGACATTTTGCAATGCCACCAAACTGCTCTTGATTTCCTTGCAACTTCCACACAACTCTGCTGGCAAACAGGATGCCAAACTCTGGATTGTGTGTGATCTTTTCATGTTAACTAGAGTTATATGGGATCTAAAGTCCAGTGAAATAGGTACACAGGATTCTCCAGCCTGAACTGATCCAGGTTTACTGCAGGGTCTGATTCAGCCAGGAGCTTCCACCATGATATCTCAGTAAAAATAAGTTCAGTATTATCACAGAATCACAGAATGGTTTGGGCTGGAAGTGATCTTAAAGATCATCTCATTCCAATCCCCTCCATGGAACCTTCCATTAGACCAGGTTCTCCAGACCCTGCCCAATCCAGCCTTGAACACTTCCAGGGATGAGGCATCCAGAACTTCTCTGGGCAACCTGTGCCAGTGCCTCACTACCCTCCCAGTAAACCCAGGTTTAAACCAGGCTGTATGTAATAAGTCCCCAGGGTGTGGATCTTTACTGGGACTAAAATGAGAAGAAGGGACTTAATCCCTTCACCCAGCTCAGAGGCAAACCCATTGCTATTCTGCCTCTTCTCCAACATTCATTTTCCCACCTGTAAACCAGGAAGAACAAATGCACCTTTTTGAAACAGTGGAAGACACACAGCTAGAGGACCTCCCTCTCCACAGCTCACCTGCCTCCACTCCAGCTATCTATGGTCCCTTCCCATCCATTTCTGCCCTCTCTGGTGCCACCATCCAACCAGGCTGAGCTGTGGATCCTGGCACTGATGGACCACAGTGACACCAGCCTGCTGGCAGGCAAGGAGCCTCTGGCATGCTGATACCTCTCTCCCATTACTCACCCTCAGGGAAGGAATTTGGAGACAGCAACACATGGAGCATGTGGTATTTCCAGGGCTTGGAAAATAGGTGTGGAGGGGAACACACCATTTCCAGTTTGCCCCAGCTGTGTGCTCAGAGGAGATTTGGAGGTTAAGGCAGTCAAAGATCCCCTTATTTGTACAGGAAATTTTACAAGTAGTCACTTTCATTAAAGTAACAAAAAAATCTATGCAAAAAAATCTCTGCCACATATTTAAATCAGTACAGCTAAAGGTGATGACTTGAGGCCACTGTGAATTATTTCTACCCTCTACAGCCACACTTTGGGGACATTTTTTCATTCCAGAGGTCATCACTGTCTGCACAGAAGTGCTGGCAGAAGCAATGTCACCTCATGTCCCACTCAGTGCCAGACACATGAGCAGCACTGGGGACAGCCCTGTGGAAGAGACAGGGACCTGCCTGAGGCAGCCAACTGCAGGGAATAAATCTGTCCCACATTCCCTGAGTGCTTTGCTAGTTAAAGGACCTAAAACAAACTAAAAAAACCACATTCATCAACTTCTTTCTGTCCTCTCCTGGAGAGTTCCTGCATTTCATTTCCACTATTGAACAAAAAGTCTCAATTATCCCAGCACCAGCCTCAAAAAAGTAAGGCACAAGTTCCACTTCCAGGCTGAGCCTTTGCATTTCCCACAGCCCAGGCTTGATGCCAACCCACCCCACACCTCCAGCAGGGAAAAACACACCCAGGTAACAAATCCTTCCAATTACTGTCGTCTCCTGCAGTTTTGTACTATTAACCACAAAACAGAAGGCTCACAGCAAATCAGCCTAACAAACAAAGTGCATTTCTCCCAGCCATCCCTCCAAAGGAATTTGCCAAAGTAGTCCTGGCAGCATTTAAACCAACCTGCAGGGAATGTGAGTCCCAAAGCCACTAAGAGGATGAGTCTCCTCACACCTGTGCGGCACCAGCAGCGCTGCCCTGAGCTCAGCTGCGCCAGCTCCGAGTTTCCCAGAGTGTAAAACCCTGCAGAAGTTCCCTGTTTGGGATACCCACACATGCCCCAGAACAGCACAGTCCCTTCTCGTTCTCTCTCCATCCCAGCGAACAGAGCCCCAAAGGGAAGGAGCCACAGACCTCGCGGCGCGGAGCGGCTCTCCCTGCAGTCAGCCGGGACCTGCAGCCCATCCAGCTACATTCTGAAATTCTGGGAGAAGCTGCCCTGGCTCCTCGTCCTCTCCTCGGCGTGATTAAAGATTTCAGTGCCCAGACGTCAGGAGGGATAAGGAAGGGGAGGGAGAGCAGGGGGAGAGGGATGGGATTCCCCCCCCTCCCTCCCTGCAGCGGAGAGCGCGGCTTGGCCCCTTTGTGCGGCCAAATAAAGCAGGAAAAACAAGAGTTGGCTTCTGTGAAAAGCTGTAAACAGCTTTGCTAGTGGCTTTGCTAACTAAATAAAATAACAGTCTGGGAATCTGCACAACTGATTTCCTAGAACGCAGCAACAAGTCGTGGCTCCCGCCCACCGTCGGATTCCCTGGGATGAAGTCAGTCCAGCCCTGCTCACATCCCATTAAATATTTTTGGGAGCCTAGCTTTGCTCTGAGGGCGAGGTGTGTTGAGTTTCTTTAAGGAAATTAAGCACAGCTGTAAGTTCTGCAAGGCCAGAGGCTGATTCATGAACTGGAGCTTGATGGTGCTGTGGGTTCCCCAGCTGTGGGATACAGCCCTGACCTCCTCTGCTATGAGGTCCACAGAGCCAGGAGCACCTGGGAGAGATGCCCAGCTCCCTGCCAAAACCTTTTTGGAAAGATTTTGTCCTCGTTGCCAGGAGTGGAATGACTGACAGTGGCATTTCTCATTACAAACAGGGGCCAGATTTTCAGCTGCATCTGCAAGGATCAGCATCACAGTCTCATTGCAGCCAAATGAGCTATAAGACACTTACAATTGCCATTCTATAAGAAACACAGAAGCCTTTGAAGTGTCAAGTTAGAGAGAAAAAAGTCATAGTTTTCAAAATACAATAGACATGCATTACAAACACACAATAAACAAACATTTGTTAGTTCACTGCAGTTTTGTTTTACAGCCTTGTAATTACTTAAAAGCATGACAATATACAGACCAAGGGGAAATACCAAAATGAAGCACTTAAATCACAGAATCACAGAATGGTTTGGGTTGGAAAGAGGCTTAAGGCTCATCTCATTCCATCCTCCCTGCTGTGGGACACCTTCCACCAGCCCAGGTTGCTCCAAGCCCTGATCTTGGGCATTTCCAGGGATGGGGCAGCCACAGCTTCCCTGGGCAACAGGTGGGCAACAGATCTTATTAAAATTAAGCATGGGGCATTTGGCACCCCATGAAGAGAGGGTTGTCACTGCCCTACATGT